CGTCGGTTATACTTAGTGTACGGGTTCTTGATTTATTTGAGCAGTACCATTAACCCGTTTATATACGGTGCCACGAACAGGCTCTTCAGGCGAGAGTACAAGGCTATTTTGGAAGCAATTTTAAGCAAACTTCCCGCTGTCTCTTCAGACTTGTTTAGACGCTCAAATCCAAGTCAAAGCCAAAATACCCAATCTTCTCACGTCCAAACAAATGAAAAAATGGAAATTGAAACTCTCTCATAATCTATTCTAGCTAAAGGTATTTAAAGAGAAAAAAACCATTCAACGCAGGCTCATCGTTTTTAATCCTGTATCAAACTGATCAAATCCATGTTTTCTATTTAGTTTCTAAGGAGTCACCTTAGAAACAGAAAAGCAGTCCGGAAGAAAGCAAAATCATCGCATTGATCTATGAAAAATGATACTTCATCAAAACAATAACCTAAACGTATAAAATTATCTTCAAAGGCTCCGTATAACAGTCTTTTAGAAACATCAAACAGGCATCCGATCCAAAGAAGGCATTTCAGTGTATTCAGTAACGCAGAGTCCAAGTATATTATCAATTAAAAGCTAAGATGGAGTCTTGAATAAGGTGGTTCTTACTTTTGAGTCTGTGGACGAAATCCACGGTGTGACAATTCAAATGAGACCTCTTTAGAAGTACGTTTAAGTGGTGCTAATGTTTTTTTCAGCATTATACAATATGGAATTTGAGAATTTTGTCGAATTTTGACCCTCGCCACTTTTGGAAGTAAAAAGCAGTGTTAATGAAATTTGTTCCGCGCCAAGGAAATCAAGGGTTTTAGCAGTTATTTAGCTCTGTTATAAAAAAAAAAGCAAGTACAAGTGACCATTCATTACCAGTTTATTCTAATCTTCAGATGGCGGAGTTCCCGCTGGCGAGGGAGAGACATCAACAGAGAGACAGTGAAACAAACATCAACAAATTCGTAATCATAACGTCCATCACGCTTGATAATTATAAATTTCTAGATCCACCATTATTAAGGGAGGTGAGTTAAGGAGGATACAATGACAAATATCTCTTGATTGGCTGCTTCTCACAGGAAAAAAAAAACAGTAGATCTCTGTCACATAATTCACAAGGGGATGAAAAAGAAGTATTTTATTTACTCAACAGTTTCACTGACAAATAAATTTCAATAGGACTTGGTGAACCTACAAAGCTAAATTTTCGAAGATGCAATTTTGCGCGGATGGTCTGCTACGTGTTAAATATTAAAGAGCGGGAAGGATGACCCAAAGGAGGCCATTAAGGCTGATGAGTTTCGTTAACTTTGCGCTGAATCAGTTCAAGGATTTTAATCAGTTTAATCCTGATACAATGCGGCACTGATGCTTACATGCCGGTATGAGATCCAAGCATATTTCCGTTCAATTTACTGGTCCTGCAGTGCGGCTAATGCTGTAGAAAGCCGAAGTTTCACTATTGGTTTGTTTATGGAAACCAAACTGTT